ATGATTTCTGATCTGAAAAAAAAAGAAGAGTAAGAGAAGAGAGAGAAAGGAGAGAACAACAGAGATAAAGAGAGAACTTTGAGGTAAATAATTCTTATCTTATTCAATAATGTTTGAGTTACAAATCGAGTCTATTTATAGACTTGCGGGAATTAAAAGATAACATTGATGGAGGCGGGATTTGTGTGGTCGTTTCAATTGAAGGCAATGGCAGTGGGATCTTGCGGCTGCTGCAGGATGATGGTAACAGTTAGAGTTGAAACCCTAACCCTAATTTGTACATGTAAAAAGACTACTTTGCCATTTTTTGTAAATTTTCCTTTTTACCATTTGTATCCTAACAATACTCTGTAGTAACAACCTTGTTCTCAAGGTTGAGTTCTGGAAATATTTTCTTTGAGAGTCCTTTCCATAATAATCTCCTCCAAGACCATTACCATTTTATTTAAGCAGTAGTGTCTTGAAAAATACTGGTCTCCACACTTGTAGCAAGCAACATTTGCTCTTCTAGATTCCATCTCTTTTTTCATAGCTCAGGATGGTTGTTTATAATTTTTATTTCAGATCCTTTTAAAAATTGGACAACTTTGCCAATAATTTATGAATTTTGAGATATTTCTATCACATATTATCTTGTAGCAAGTCTTGTTCAAATGTTTGGTTGGGCAAGCGTGAGTTAAACAGATTTATCATTGGCTACAGTTCTGTTTTGAGCCTGCTGATAAAATTGAAAATGAAAAACTTCTTAGAAAGAGTGCGATTGTTGACATTTACTAATGCGTGCAAACGCTTGAAACGTTCTTGATATACAGAACGGTTCTGGTACACGCCAGCTTGTTAAATTATTCAATGAAATCTCTTTAGGAGGTGCTCCCAAATTTTCGACAGAGTTCCTCTACAAAAAAATTCCATTCAAGCTCTTTCACTTTTGCTAACCATCCCTCATACTGAACATTTGCTACATCATCCAAGTAGAGTGAAGGCACCTCCGCCTTTTGTTCTTTCAGTGCTCCGTACACCAAAAGATATTTATCGCATCTCGGATCCTAGCAGAGGGATTAATTCCATAATAAAGTAAGATTTCCACTTAGGTAGGCTAGGTAGTTGACCAAAGAGGGGTGAACCAATTCGATTCATGGTGAAATTAGGGGTCTAACTTGATTAAGAAAATGGGCCAGTTCGATCTAAGCAGTTTACTTTGGACCAGTTTGGTATGGGTTAGTTTGGTTCGGACTGGTTCGGTCAAACTCGGGTTGGTTTGAACCAAGTCGGACCAGTTCACATGTTTTAATCCTTGAATTAGTCAAACTGGTTTTAAGGTTTTTAACTCTCGAATTGCATTTTTTCATTCTTGCTTCTTCGCGAGCAAGGGGACTCGGCAGAAAGCCTCTTTGCCCGTTTGGCGTGGCTGTGTTGTGGGGTCACCAGGCTCAACCTTTTCTGGTGCGCTATACTATCATGTATCATCTCCACATGCTCAGCCCAATTGGGGCGATTGTTGCCTGGGTCGCGGGCTCGACAACTCCTAGTATGGTGCACCACGTATCGGTTCCACTAGCTACTCAAATTGTCTTTGTGTTTTTTTTTATTCTTGCAAACTTTGGCCATGAAGTCGGAGAACCACTAGTCGAAAATTTTCATCATCAGGTTTGGCTGTTCCACCACGGCTACCACATTTCCCTTGGATCAAGTATGCAAAGCGACCTTGGTGCATGATTCAACTTGCTCCAATGACTCTGATACCACTTTTTCAAAAGCCTTTAACATAGTTTCTGATTTGCAAAGAAAGAAGAGGAAAAGAAGAGAAAGAAAGGAGAGAACAGAGAAAAGAGAGAACTTTGAGATAAATAATTCTGATCTTATTCAATGGTTTTTGAGATACAAATTGAGCCTATTTATAGACTCGTGTGGGAATTAAAAGATAACATTGAGGGAGGCAGGATTTGCATGGCCGTTTTGATAGTAGGCAGCGGTAGCGAGATTTTGCGATGTATATTGGATGATGGTACCGATTAGGGTTGAAACCCTAACACTAATTTATACACGCAAAAAGACTATTTTGCTCCTTTTTGTGATTTTTTTTTTTATTTTTTGTATCTTGACAACCCCTAGAATCATATTAAAGATAGATAAGGAAAGAAAAACTCGAAAACATTAAAAAATCATATTGATAGAATCTATATGCATATACTCATAACTTGATCTATATCAATAAGGATCATAATAATTTGGTTTTAGAGCTAGAAGTTATGGGTAATGTACTGTTAAGAATAATTGAATATGTGCATTATTAAATATCATGATCCTATATATGCGGAATTTCTGAAACAGAAAAGGAAATAGACAATTAATTACATAGGCGTATTTTACTCTAAAATCCTTTATCCTAATTACATATAATATACTCTTTAACTCTCTCCATCGAGTTAGAAAATTGACATCGTCCATCTATATATGCCGATGATAGTCTAGAATACTGAATTACTCAATCTTTTGGTCATCACATCTACAAGTTGTGAGCTGATAAACATGTATGAAATACATATTAAACTATTGTTTAGTTTCTCTTTGATGAATTGTCTGTCAATCTCAATATGTTTGATCTTGTTATGTTGTACCAAATTATGAACGATAC